ATCCTTTTAAAAAATATAATTGTTTTATAAATTAATATAACAATAATATAAATATTATAGATAATATTCTTTTAAAACGAATGAAATAATATAAGATATTTAATTTTATTTATAAATTTATTCAAGAAAATAAAAAGGGATAACCAAGAAATAAATTAAAAATATTTTTTTTAATATTTTTAGTTTTAGTAAGTGTTTTAAATATAATTTCTTGGTTTATTATACTTATTGCATTTTTTTAATTTAAATTAAATTAAAATATTTATTTTAGCAATTAAAATTTAATAAAAGATCCTTTTAAAAAAATGATATTTTAAGAAGAATTATGTGAAAATTTGTAAATTAATTATAGTTATTTCGATATAAATGTATAAGGTAAAAAATATTTTATTTATTTATTTAGTTAATATTATTATTATTTTCAAAATTTATATTTTTATTTTTTAAAATTTAAATTTTATATATTTATATTTTAGATTTAGAAGATTTATCTTTAAATTTTGATACAATATAATTAATAAAGGAAAAAATAAATAATTGCAGAGTCAAATTTATGATATATAATACAGAATTTTATAACTTTTATTTAGGATTTAATAAAAATAATAAATTATTATTAAGATGGATTTTCTTAAGTTTTATTTTAATTTTTATTAATTTAATAATGCTATTAACTTTAATTTAACATGTTTTAAAAAAATACAAATGATAAAATTAAAATCATTTTTAGTTTACATATATATATATATATTATATAATTATTATATGAATCTATATTTTATTTCATAATAATAATATAAATATTTATAAAAAATAATTTTAATAAATAATTTTATAATTATAAATAAATACAATATTTAATAATAAAAAAGAAAACTGATTTTTTTTTTTCTCAATAATAATTTTAAACTAAATTTCTGCATTTATTTAATACATAATTATTTTAATAATCATTATTTTGAATAATAATATTATGATATTTATTTGGTAAATAACTATTTTAAAAACTATAATTTTAAACAGCAATATTAGAATTTAGAGGAAATTATTAATTGCATTAAATATTATTAAATGCATTTTTATTTAAATAAATATCTTCTTAGTTTTCTTTTTAAAGTTGAAGTTGTAATTAAAATATTTCTCTTTCTAATTCTGCGTTTTCGAAATTTAAATGTTCAATTTTTTATTCTACTTGTTATTCTTATGTTTCTAATTATTATTCAAGTTATTATATATTATTATATAGGTATTTATTATTCTATAATGTTTCATTAATTTATTTATTTAATTCATTATTTTTTTATTTTAATTCATCATTTTTTTTTTTTAATTATTTGTTATAACTTCCATGTTTCATTAAATTAAAAACTGTTTTATTTTCTAAATCACGAAACATTTAGTCATATTTTCTATGTAAAAAATATGGCCCTAAATATTCTTATTTTATTTTTTTATTTTCTTTTGATTACATTTTTTTATTATTATTAAAATTTTATTTATTTTAATTAATTATAGTGTATTTTTATTAACAAATTAAAAAAAAAAATATAAAAATTAATATATATAAATATATATATAAATATATATATATATTTAAATATATATATATATTTATATATATATATATTTTTGTTTATTATTATTTTTTTTTATATATTAATTTTTTATCTAAAATATTTTTTATTTTTTCTGAAAATTTCATTTTTAATTTCCATTGTTTTGATCTTTCATAACTTTAACTAATATTATTTATTCATCTTATTATTAATTTTAAATTGAATTTGTAACTTCATATTTTTAATAGTAATCATAATTTTTAAAATACCATTTACTTTTTTTTCATATCAATTTTAAAAATTTTATTCAATTTACTTTTTTAATAAAAATAATTTAGTATATAAAATTATACAAATATGCATAAATTACATTTAAATATTTTTATTTATTAACTCTTTTATATATTCATAACATAATGTTATATTAAATTAGTAAAAAATAATAATCTATAATTAAAAAAATATATAAATTTATAAATTCTTCTATTTTTACATTTTGTTTCAATAGTATCTCATTATTTTTTATTATAAACTATATATTAAATTTTATAAAATAAACTTTTTTAATCTTTATTTTACAGGTATTTATTGTTTTCATTTTAACTTATTCCTACTGATATTTCATATATATAATCATTTAATTATATTTATGTCATTATTAAGTTAAAGACTATATTTTAATATTCATTATGAAAAATTTTGTTTAATAATTATTTTTAATTTAATTTTGGCTAATATGTAATCTTAATATTATTGAGTTAATATTTTATATTAATTACTTAATTAGGAATTGTTATAAAAACCACTTTTATTTATTAAATTTTATTTAATTAAATAATTTTTTTTTATTATTTTTAAATTTGTATATGATATTTTCTTAGAAAATAACTGTTTATTTGTATATTGACTTACATATTTTTTCTTTATTACTCTTTATGTTGAAACTAAAAAATTTATATTTTTTTTCTATTTAATTATTAATATTGTATCAAAGGGAATTTTAACTTTATTATTAAATTTATTATTCTCCTTTTATTTTCTAAATTTTAAATGTATAAACTATTTATAAAAAAAAAAAAATTATTAAATGCTTTGTCTAAATTAATAAAATATAATCATTGAAAAATAAAATAAAAAATAAATATAAAATTAAATACTATATATATATTTTATTAACTTATTTTAATATTTTCTTATAATTATAATAATTATTTGAAATCTGATCTAATTTAATATTATTTATCTTCTTATTAATAATTATATTTCAAAAAATCACATATATTTATTTTAAATATAGTAGAAGGAATAATAAATTAATTAGTTATAATTAACAAAAAATAATAGAAGATTAAACTTTATAATTATTTTAATAAAAAATAAAATCATTATAGTTAATTTATTACTTTTATTACAATTAATTTATTCTAACAAAAGCAAAAAACATCAATATGCAAAACTCTGTTAAAATTCAAAAAATATTCGAAAAGTTAAAAATACTTCCTTTTAAACCACAATTAATAATTTTAAATTAATAGAAAATGAAAAATGATTATAAATAAAAAATCAATCTAAAAATTCATTCTGTATTTATTTAAAACAAAAAAACATATAAAAAAATAAAATTTATAAATTAATAATAATGCTTACAAAATTAAAAAAATCATAAATCATAGATTATTTTTACTTTGTTTTCATTTTATTAAAAAAAAAAGTAATAAAAATTAGAAATGCAAAAAAACCATATTTATGTATAGCAAACATATAAAACTTTTCAAGAATTAACAATATATAAATAAGTATAAATTTTATATAAAATAGATATTAAAATATGTAATTATATTATCTTTAATATTTAAAAATCTTTTCATACACTTAAAAAAAATATAAATATATTATTTTTAAATATAATAATAATGTATAAATAACTATTATTATTTTAATAAAAAAAAATATATATAAAAATACATTTAAAATTTTTATTATTATTCTAAATTGTCAAATGTATTAGAAATATATATCTAAAGAGATTGTAATTGTAAAAATTATTCTTAAATAAAGAAAATCAAGCAAATATAAAATATATAGAATAAACAATAAATAGAATAAAAATAATTCTTAATGATTTCAAATAATAAACATAATTTAAATAATATTGATTTCATTTTTTAAAAATTAATATTATTATTATTATTATTATTATTATTATTTTTATTAGTATATTTTTAATTTATTTATATAATTTTTTTTATTTATTATTATTATGAATTAATTTATTATTTTTTATTTTTTTAATATAAAATATTATTTTTATAAATATATACAATGAATTTTATATTTATATTTTAAATTATTATATAAGAAATATTTAATTAAATATTTTTTCAATAAGTTTCATCAAAATAATTTTAATTTTTTCCAAAATTCATATTTTTTATTTAATTTCTTTATAAAATAATAGAAGAATCTTAGTCTTTAATAGATGCAGTAATTTAACTATTTGCTTAAATTTTTAATTGACTTTAATTATTTAAATTATAGGATTTTTTATATATTTTATTAGATTATTTGGGACCTAAAACAGTTGACTTTTTAATTTTTTATTATTTTCTTTTTTATTAGTTAACATTTTAAATTTCCTTTTTATTATTTAGTTTTAGAATAATGTAACTCAAATTATTAAGAGGATAATAAATTTAAAAATTCGATATTTAATCAAATTTTTAAAATATAATTTTTAATTCAAAATCTTATTCAAAAGCAATATTTTTTTCGAACATATTAATTGTATTAATTGTATTAATTGTATTAATTGTATTACAATTATTATTATAATTATTATTATTTTAATTATTATTATAATTATTGTTTATTTATATTGAGTTTAATTTTCGATATTTAATTTATCCATTAATCAGAGACTATCTATTTTCTGTTTTTTCATCACTTAGTATATTTTTAATATTATTTTTAATATACTTTTTGCTTTCAATAGTATTTTAAGTTTAACTAATAAAATCACCAGAATCTTATTATTTTTAAATGCATTTATAATCATCATTAATACAGTTTTCCGAAAAAAAATCATCATCTACACAAAGATTTTTATACGCCCATTTAAAGTCGTAAGATAGAAAATTTTATTAATATAATAAAAGGGAATCATCTTAATTATTTTAGATGAATTCTAATATATTTTCGTCATTATGATAAACTTTGATTTAATAATTTAATAGTTTTCTTATTATTAATTTCCTCTCTTAAAAATAAGGCTTTATCTTAGTCGATTAAAGATAAAGTTTTTAATTATTAGGGACATAATGTAAAAATTTACAATTTATAATATTATGATATTTACTAGTGCAACTCTCACATGTATAATTAATTTTACTTTAGTCGAAATTAAATTCAAGTCGATCTTTTAAATAGCAGAATTTTTCATAGTCATCAGGAAACTCTTTTAATAAATTTATAAATTCTTGCCTATTTATTTTCTAAACATTTACAAATGAGTTCGCTATTGCGTTAAATTATCTTTTTTTCCTGTAAAAAATTCTTTTATTCCAATCATGCTTCCCTCTTTTATTTCCTTTAAAATTATACCTTAATTTTTTGACATTTTACTAGTGATATAAGGATTGTTAACAGTTAAAATTACACTTCCTTTTTAAATATAATAAAGAAATTAATCGACTATTTAATTTTATTAAAATATTTATTATTAAGGTTTATAATATTGTTCTTTTATTAACTATATAGCTTTTTCAGTAAAATTATTGCTAAAATTCTATTTTAAATATTATATTATTATCTTGTTAGACTCTAATTATAAATCTCTTTTTAATCTTTCATCTAGTTAACTAAAAATAGCATTACTGTCATTTGTTAATTTTTCATTATTTTCTCTCCATACATAACTTTTTAAATTTAAAAAAGATATATTTTATATTTATATTTACTCTAAATACTATCTTATTTCGTTTTTTAAAGAATTACTAATATTATTTTATTTCATTTATATATTTATTATTGACAATTTTTATTTTATCTCATTTTCTTTTTCATTGAATTAAGAAAATATATTGCCAATCCCATTTATAGAAAATCCGAAAACTCCACAAGAAATCATCATAATTAATAAACAAAGTACATATTCATATCTATTAGTAGGAGCTATATCTCCATATCCTATAAAAAAACTTTAAATAGTGTTATAAATATATAAAAACAAATACCAACTGTAGTCATAGTAACAGTAGCAAAATAATAAGATTAAATATATTAGTAAGTCCAGTCTTAGTCTGTAATATTTCTTACAATCATCCAATTATGTTATTAATTTACATTCAGATAAGCATTCCAAATCCATACGCATGCAATTAAATGTTGAATCAAAATAATGTTAGAAAATAATTTAAAAAGTGATAACAATTTTTTACCATCTTTAATTTAATATAATTATGTCTTCCAGTTTACTTATAAACTTTGTAAAGTCATTTAACTTTAAAAAAAAAGGCAAAAAACAAAGCAATTTCATAAAAGAATTCATATCTTATTCGAAATCTGATTTCGAAAATTCTTTTTTTAGTTCAAAGATACAATCAAAAATGCTGAAATTACTGATGAAACATCATAAAATAAATTATTTTAGCAAAAATATTTAAAAATTAAAATTCTTTATTTTGTCAAAACTCCCTTTATATAATAACCTGTATTAAGTTTTAAAAAAGTACTAAAGAAAAGAACACCTAATTATTTGAATTATAACAAAAAATTAATATAGATAAAAAAATGATTGTATAAAAAATAATAATTATATAACTAATAAAATAACTATATGTCTATAATTTTATAAATTTTTTATTAATTGTTATAAATCTTTTAGTTTTTATATATAAAAAAATGAATAAATCTTGAAATACCTATAAAAATATAGCTAAATGAAAAGTTTACAATATCACTAATTAAGATTTCAAAAGATACTGAAATACTTAAGACAAAAAAAACTATCAAAGTAATAGATAAATCGAAAGCATCATAAATAATTTTGTAAATATTATAAGGGTCAATTGCAGGAAATTAACTGTCTAAATATTATATAAGATGATAAAATTTATTTTTTTAGTATTTGAATTATTGCTTTTCGTATTCGTTACTATAATAATTTAATCTATTATCTAACATTGCTTATTAATCTTAAGAAATATTTTTTGCCATTCTACTTTATAAAGATTGGACTAAGGTTTTTGCAAACATTTTCATTCTAACTTTAAATATAAGGTTTGTAAACGCACTTTTCCTTTAAGAAGGAATTTTGTTAAGCTATAAAATTGCTTATTAAATCGCTGACATTTTATTAATATGATTATTTTATAAATTTTTAAAAAATAGCTAAAATTGAATATTACGTTATAAAAAAATAATTTAAATAATAAAAAGATAAATGTAAAAAGTAAAAAGATTATAATTAAAAATTATTTTAAAATTAATAATTTATAAAGTAATTAGAAAAAAAATTATATAAAAATATTAATATTAAATATAAAATAATAAATAAAATAAAATAAAATATATATAATTATATTTATGATTTTATAATTTAATATTTTTAAAAGATGAAATTATTTAAATACATATAACTTTTAATTATATTGTATATATGTTTAAAAATATAATAAAAAAGATAATATATAAAATTATAAAAAAATAAGTAAAAATAAAATATATATATAATATATATATATATATATATATATAATATATACATATTTATTTTTTAATTATATAAGATATATTTTTATTTATATATTATTTTCTCAATTTTACATTTAATTTTTTTTATTTTTATCATTATTATTATTTTAATGTTATTTTTATATTTATTATTATATTTATTTAATGTTTGCCATATTTATATTAATTAATATATTTTTTTTTTATTTATATCTTTTTTTTTTTTTATTAATAGCTTTTATCATATTTTTATTTTATAATTTATATTTTTATTTTTATATAAAATTAACACATTTAAATAAATAAATATATATATATTATTTTTTTAATTTATATTATATATTTTTTTTTATAATCAATATTCATAAATATTTTATTTTTTTAATTTATAATAAATTTTAAATTTTTTTTTTTTTATTTATTAGTATATTAATTTTTTTTAATAAAAATATTTATTCATATATAAAAATATTATATTATTTAATATAATATTTATTTATTTTTATATTTATTCTTATATATTTTTTTTAATTTTATTTATAATTTGTATTTTTATTTTTTAAATATATATTGGTTTATTTTATATAGAGTTTTTTTTGAATATTAATTTTTATTTATTATTGATTATTTAATTCAAAAAATATATATAACTTAACATTTAAATGATTTATAAAAAAAAATTGTTCTTAGATATTATAAATTTAAATAAAATCAAATAAATATATTATTATTTTTTATTTTAAATAATTTATATTTTTCTATTATTATATTATATATTTATATTATTACTAATAAAAGAATATTTAAAATATATCAATTTATTTATTTTTTATAATTATTAAAAAATAAAATTATAAAAATGTAATCTTTACAAAATGATTAAAAGAAAGATGAAAACTTAGAAGAATAAAATCAAAATTTAAATTAATAAGAATAAGAAGTAATGTAAAATATATTTAAAAGCGAATAAACAGAACAAAATAAAATAGAAGAAAAATCTTATGAATCATTAACATTATCACAAAGCAATATTAGATAAACATAAAAATAAAATACAAATAAAAACGAAAAAGAGTAAACCGAAATTTAAAATGAATAATAAAATTGTTCAAGTGAAATTGAAAAAGTATAAATTAAAAATAAAAATGAACAATAATTAAATGAGTCAAGTGAAATCGAAGAAGAATAAATCAAAAATTAAAATTAAGATGTATAAATTGAAAATTAAAATGAAGAATAAGATGAAAATGAATAAATAAATAGATAATAAGAAGGAGAAAATAAATAAAGTAAAGAAAATAATAGCTCATAATCCTATGAAGAATAACATGAGTAAGAAAATAATGAATATGAAGAAGAATAATAATAATAAGAGAATCATTAGGAAAACAGAAATAACATTATTAATTAACAAATCAATAATTAATAAAAAAGCTAAAATGAATAAGATGAAATGGATGAAGAAGAATATGAAATGGATGAAGAATATGCAAGTTAAAATAATTATAATAATAAAGAGAGTGAAAGTAATGATAAAAAGAAACGAAATGAATTTTGGAAATATAGGCATGCAAATAAAGAAAGAAGAGAAAAATAAAGACAAGAAAATGTTCAATAGATAAGTATTTCAGAAGATGATTTGATTAGATATTCATTAAAAAGGGCTTAAATTTTTAATAGTAATATTTTAAGTTAATAAAGTAAAATATAAGAAATTATAAGAACTAATATGAAAAATAATAAAAGTAAATAATTCTTTATTCCATTAGAATAATAATAATCTTAAGCTTTTCCTAAAAATATTCCAGTCTATATTTAAAATGATGATGGAAGCAAATATTGTAATTTATTTATATATTTTATTTTTTATTTTTTTTAATTTATAGTATTACCGAATAGCAATTTCATTAAAAGAGGAACTCTTGATGAGTTTGTGTAGTAAAATGCTCTTTATGAACATCATGATATGATGGGAAATTATTAGAAAATTAATTTAAAGAAAACATAAAATTTAAAGAAAAAAATACATAAAAAAACTAAAAAAAAATAGCTTTGGTTATGATATTCCATGACATATTTTTTTATATATTTAAAGAAAATATAAATATATTAATTAAATATTTTTATATTTATTAAAAAAAAAGTTTAAATGAAATAATATTTTTTAATTTATATTAAATATAATAATTATTTTTTATATAATATATAATAATGATTTAATTAATTAACTAAAAAAAAACAATTTTTTTAAAAATGTTTTTTTCTAATTTATGATACACATTAAAAAATAATTTAATAAAAATTAATTTCATATATTTAAATCAATTATATTTTTCAAGTTTTTTTAATATACTTTTTATTTTTAT